TTCACAGATGTGGTAGATCTGATTCCTGTGCATTTCATCTGGCAAGGTCCATATGTATAGCCACTGTTTATGTTGTTGAACAAAGGTACTTGCAATGAATAAGTTGTTGGTCTTTCAAAATTCTATCATGTGATCTCTGGCATCATTTGTATCACCAAGGCCATATTTTCCACTACCAATGATTCTTTTTTGTTTGCAACTTTTGCATTCTAATAACCAGGAATAATTAATACATTGTGGGTTTGATCAATTTCAGATTTCAGAAGTTGGTAAAAATCTTCAGTGTCTTCATTTTTAGCTTTAGTGGTTGGTGCATATACTTGAAAAATAGTAGTATTAACTGGTCTTCCTTGTAGGTATATGGATATTATACTATCACTGACATCATTGTAAAAAAACAAATCATTTTAATAAAGCATAAATGGATCTTGAAGAACAAGCCAGAAATCTTACTATGTTTGTCTGGTTAATTTTTTCTTCTATCTTTTCAATATTATTTCAGGTTTTCTCCAAGCTCCTCAAATCTCCAAGTTTTTATCTTCCATTTTCTCTCCTTCAACTCTCAATGTCTACTTCCCCAAGAACATAAAAGGCATCCAATGGGATTTCCTTCAGCTTTAAATTACCAAATAAACCAACCATCCTTTCTCCCCACCTCCTTTTCTTCTGTCCACCTGGCTTAATAAAGGAGGTATCTCTTCCTCCTCCCAAAGAAGACTAATCCTTTTATTTAGATTCCATCTCCTCATACTTACACTATTAAATATTCTTTTTTTTTCTTTTGCATACTCAAGCTGCATTTGTATATACTTAAGTTGGTACCATCCTAAATAAAATGTCCCTTAACCATACCCTCCTCCAGTTACCAATCCCTATCTTGCCTTTCTTCACAGCTAAAGTTCTCCAAAGAGTTGCATATAGTCACTGTTCTGTCTATAACCCATTTCTTAATCAACTCTTGTCTGGTTTTGGAATGCTACTGAAACTGTACTCAAGTGACTATACCCTTCAGGTCAGTAAGCTTAATAAACATTTTTCAGTCCTCATTTTACTTAACCTATAAATAATATGTGATATCTAGACCACACCTTCCTTTCTGATACAATCTTTTTCTTTGGCTTCTATGATACCACACATTCCTTCTCTTCTTCATCCTCCCATTCAGCCTAAATCTCTAAACATTCCCATGTCTCCTTTGTAGATATCTTTGGTTTTCTGGCTTATAATTGTTGTATTTCTCCCCCACCCCACCACTGTCATGGAGTCAGATCTGACTCATAGCAACCCCTCCTTGGGTTTCCATGTCGGTATCACTATGGAAGTAGATTGCTCAACCTTCCTTCTGAGGAGTGGCTGTGTTTTAGAGCTATTTTATTCTTACGCTAGATACTCTCCCTAGTTAATCTTACCCATGCCCATGGCTTAAATTTCTACCTGTGAGATTATTCCTGAATGTGTAATCTCATACCTGATTTCTTTGATCTCCAGACATATATATTCAACTGCCTCCTTAACATCTTCACTTGGCTATATTAAAGTTAATCCAAATTCAACAGTCCAAAATTGAACTCATGATCTGCCCAAACCCCACAAAACTTGACCTGTTTTCAGGGCTTCCTGCCTTAGAGAATGGCACTACTTAAGCAAGCCAGAGCCTAGATGCCATCTTTGACACCTCCTCCCTCTCTTAACAATCTATCACTGAGGACTAATGATTACACCTTCAGCATATCTAAGGCCTCCTAACTGGTCTCCCCTCCAATCTGTTTTCAATCTGCAATTAGAAAGATCTTTTCAAAACAGAAATCTGACCACATAAACTCCTTGCTTAAAACCTTTCAATGGCTTCTATCTTTATAATATTATAACAAAAACCCTTATATGACAAGCAAGCCCTTATTTTGCCCAGCCCCTATATTCCTACCCACCCTTATAGTCCTATGCTCTTTTTCCTGAGGGCAGTAGTAGAAGTGTCAGGGTACTATCTCCACTTTTCACTTCACTGGAAGGGAAGCTTTGTCAGGCCTACAGACACTTACTTACGAGGCCCAGACACTCACACTTTAATTCTGGCTCAATGAAGGCCAATTCTAGAACTCAGGCTCCTTTAGGAAATTAAAGGTACCCATTTTCAGGCAGAGGCTGAAAGCTATGCATATATTACCTAAATAATTACCTATATATTTAATGAAGAATGTAGGGAGAGAAAGGATCTCTGGTGGCATACTTCTTAAGACATTTGACCTGGTGATGGCATTACTCTTTAGTTTTATTATTACTTGTTGTTGTTTGTTGTTATGTGCTATCGAGTCGGACCGACTCATAGCGACCTCTCCTTGGGTTTCCGAGGCTGTATCACTACGGAAGTAGATTGCCTCATCTTCCTTCTGAGGAGTAGCTGGTGGGTTTGAACCGCCAGCCTTCTGGTTAGCAATCAATATGCTACCAGATTTACTATCAGTATTTAAATTATATTCTCTTTAAAAGGCAAGCTTTGTATTTGACAAGTTTTGTATCGACATTGCTAATTACTATACTTAATGAAATTAGTAAAGCCTACCAACCACTCATGAAAGAAACCAAAAGAGGACAGCTAAAAAAGCAGAAATAAGTGTGGAAGAAGAAGAAGGAGAAGGAGAAGAAAACAAGAGAGTAGTTTTCCTCAAAAGTCAAGGGAAAATAAAGGAAGTAAATGGTAAAGAATAAAATGTTGCACGATGGTCTAGTAAAATAAAGATTGTTTTATTTAAAATCATTTGTGTATATATATATATATATATATATACACACACACACACATATATATGTACATATATATACATATATACACACACATATATGTATACATATATACACACACACATATCTATATATGTATACATATATATATGTATACATATATATGTGTGTATACATATATGTATGTGTGTATACATATATATGTATACATATATGTGTATATACATGCATATATGTATACATATATGTATGTGTATACATGTATACATATATCTATGTGTATACATGTATACATATATCTATGTATACATATATGTATACATATATGTATGTGTGTATACATACATACATATGTATACATATATACATTTCTACCTGTGAGATTATTCCTGAATGTGTAATACATATATATATGTATACATATATATATATGTATACACACACATATATATGTATACATATATATATACACACACATATATGTATACATATGTATGTATACACACATATGTATGTATACATATATATGTATACATATATATATGTATACACACATATGTATGTATACATATATATATATAAGCATTTAGCCATGAGATGGTATCTGGTGACCTTGGAAAGAGGTTTAACAGTAGAGTGCTGGAGTCAGAATCCATTCTAAGGCGTGAGCTGGAAATAAGGAGGTAGGAAGTCTAGGCTACTCTTTCAAAAGTCCTGATCATATAATGGTAATTGTGATAGAAAAGTACAGAGAACTAAAGATGCTTCTAGGTTGTTTGTTTAAGATGTGTCAGCTTTAAGCATGTAGCATGTGTAAGTATATGCTGACAGAAAAGAGCCAGTGGGAAGGAAGATGACAAAAGATAACTGATGAGCCCAAAGTTCCAAATGACATGGCAGAAAAGAAGCTCTGTAACTGAGATGGTGGGATTTAGCTTAACAGAGACAAGTGCTATATGCAGATGGGGTTGGGAAGCTGGAAGTTAGATATTTCCATCTGATTACCACTATTTATTTATTTTTATAAAGTAAGAGGCATAATAAAAAGGGCTTGAGGTTAAGTTGTTAAAGTTTCAGTAGATGCTGTGAATAATGAGAGAGAAAGTTAAAGAAATCCATAAAATGAACAATCATCAGCACTAAGTGTACCACTAATGCTAGCAACTATTAATCAGGAAAAGAAACATGATTGTGTAAGTTTTCTGAAAAATGACTTATCAGCCCAAGTATTAAACAGAGAAAATGAACAATTAGATTGATTAGAGTTTTGTTACTAACAGCTTCAACTGCAGAAGAAATAGGAAAATGCAGTTGAAGCTGTTAGTAACAAAACTATTCAAAAAGAAGAGAAGACAAGAATGGAGACCAAAATAGAACACTTATAAAATGTGGAAGAGCTACATTAAAAAGGAAGCTGTGGTCAAAAAATTTAAAATACTAGAAATGGTAGAATTTGAGATAGGGGAGGAAGAAAAACTTAAAAAAATGGAGATATGTAGAGGACTAATCAGGACACTGGTGGATGAGAACACTGAGGGAGTAGACAGTAACACAATGAGGAGGCATTGGGGACTTAAGAGAATACTGACCTGCATTTAGGGTCTTTACTTCACACAAAAAATAAGATGACATTCATGAGAGTGATCTGAATTATAATCACTACAGAAATGTCATATACTTTTGGTGATGGCATTACTCTTTAGTTTTATTATTACTTGTTGTTGTTTGTTGTTATGTGCTATCGAGTCGGACCAACTCATAGCGACCTCTCCTTGGGTTTCCGAGGCTGTATCACTACGGAAGTAGATTGCCTCATCTTCCTTCTGAGGAGTAGCTGGTGGGTTTGAACCGCCAGCCTTCTGGTTAGCAATCAATATGCTACCAGATTTACTATCAGTATTTAAATTATATTCTCTTTAAAAGGCAAGCTTTGTATTTGACAAGTTTTGTATCGACATTGCTAATTACTATACTTAATGAAATTAGTAAAGCAACACATTTCATATTGTAAAAGTGGACTCTACTATTTCAATATATCTCACTTTCTTGACTTCAGAAGGTTGGCGGTTCACACCCGCCAGCCACTCCTCTGAAGGACAATTAAGCAGTCTACATCCATAGTGATACCGCCTTGGAAATCCAAGGAGGGATCGCTATGAGTCGGATCCAACTCTAAGGCAGTAAGTTTGTTTTTTTTCCTTGACTTAATGCTATGAAAAATTTCTTTCCAGCTCCATAAAAGAAAATATAAATCATCATACCTCCATGTTCGTTTTGATCAATTTCTCCTGTTTCCTCTGAATTCATGGATGTAGAAACCGTTTTACATGTTTCATATTTCACTGTTTTATTTTCTGTTGTTTTAGCTGGTTGATTCTCTGAAGAAACAATTCTAAGAATATAAATAAATAATCACACCAATAAAGTGTTAAGCCATCAGCATATTACTTAAATGTCTCATTTATAATTGAAATCACTGAATAAATGGCTATGGTTAACATTCTCTATAATGTAAAGATTAAATCCTTATTCTGTACTTTACATTATTCATTCTTTCAAGCAATTTTATGATACGCAACACAGCACAATGCAATGCACTGCCAATGAGGTGGATCTGACTCTTAGTGATCCCTCCTTGGATTTCTGAAGCGGTATCACTATAGAAGTAGATCGCCCAACCTTCTTTCTGAGAAGTGGCTGGTGGGTTTGAACCACTAGCCTTCTGGTTAGCAGTCAAATGCCTTAGGCACTATGCCACCAGAGCTCCCAATTTTCAGAAAAGCAGATCTCAAATATTTACATGGAGAGCCTAGTTAAATGCTAAACAGATACTTAGCATAAGAAAGTAAAAATCATAAATTATCATTGAAATTTTAAAGCCAGAAGGGATTTAGGAATCCTAATTTTATTTAAAATGATGAAGTATTACCCAACTAAGACAGTGGTCAAGTTGGTCATCCTTGGGTGATGCAATTAAGCATTCTACTACTAGCTGAACCCACCCACCCAGAGGCACCTCAGAAGATAGGCCATTTGGCGATCACTTCCCCAAGATCACAGCCTTGTAAATCCTATGGAGTAGTTCTACTCTGTAACACATAGGGTCTCCATGAGTCGGAATCAACCTGAAAATAACTAACAACAGTGTAGGTCAGAGCAATTTTCTGAAATTCAGTAGTCCATCTATACTATCTCCCCTTGCAATCAATCAATCAAACTCAACCCTTATCAAGGTTAAATCAAGATCTTTTCACAGTGCCTTAGCTAACTGTCTAATGTGAAAATGTTGAAGAAAGATTTTATAAGGACAGGACCCAAAATCATTGCTTCCAATTGATTTACCTGGAAGTGAGAATGGCCAGACTTCGTCTCACCTACTTTGGTCATGTTGTCAGAAGGGACCATTCTCTGGAGAAAGATGTCATGTTTGGAAAAGTGGAGGGTCAATGAAAGAGGGGAAGGCCCTCAACAAGATGTATTAACACAGTGGCTGCAGCAATGGGTTCAGGTATAGTAAGGATCATGAGGCTGGCACAGGACCAGGCAGTGTCTCGCTCTGTTGTACATAAAGGTCACTATGAGGTCGGAGAGGGAGCTCTGGTGGTGTAGTGCCTAAGGCACTTGACTGCTAACCCGAAGGTTGGCGGTTCAAACCCACCAGCCACTCCTCGGAAGGAAGACTGGGCAGTCTACTACCGTAGTGATACTGCCTCAGAAACCCAAGGAGGGGTCACTATGAGTCGGAGATGACTTGACGGCAGGTAACAACAAGAAGTTGAAGACGATTTGACAGCACCCAACAACAATAGGGATTAAATTGTATGCCCACCCAAAATGATAACCCCTATATCTGTAAATATGACCCTGTTTGGGAATAGTGCTTTTCTTTTCTTATGGTAATGAGATCTTAATTGAGGAAGCCTGTACATTCCTTACATTGCTAGGTACTGAACTGCCTACGGACTCTTCTCACATTTCTCAAGATCATTTATAAGAACTGACCCTCTTATGGAACATGGAAAAAAAAATAAACAAGCCAGCAGAAGATATCTTAAGACCTGGGTAGAACTGTTCAGAAGCATCCAGAGCAGCTATTGCTTAGCCACACAGGCAGAGTGTGGAAAATTTTCATCGGAAGTGAACTTTTGCCATCACAGGCCAAAAAACACACCCCCTGGCAGACACTGCATGCACCCCTATGATGCTAACTAGCTCTTAGAACGTAAATATATTCTATGTTATTGAATGTATATACATGACTTTGTTTCAAAGAGTGTAAAAATGGAAGTGATCTGTTGCTCAAGGAGCTCCATTTTAGGTAGAGTCCTCCGAGTTCCTTTCTCGTGCACCTTCAATTAATTCATTTTTCTCTCCTCACCTCAGTATTCTCTAATTGACTTGGGACCCACCCTGTCAGGATTTGTCTGCAACAATACCAGAATAGGGTGGGTCCTAAACGTAAATCTTTCTGAGTGGTGTCTTATAAAAACAGAATAGACTCTGCTGGAAGGGACTCCATGTAAAGTCTGAGACAGATGAATACCAAGGATTGCCAGGAGTTACTAGAAGCTGAAAGAGACAAAGGACTTTCCCCTAGAGCCAATGCCCTAAATTCAGACTACAAGCCTCCTGAGCTATGAGAAAGGAGTTCTGGTGGTGAAGAGCCTAAGGCATTTGACTGCTAACTAGAAAGTTGATGGTTCAAACACACCAGCCACTCTGCAGATCGAAGACTGGGCAATCTATCTCTGTAAAGATTTATAGCCTCAGAAACTCAGTGGGGGTCACTATGAGTCAGGAGTCATTATGAGTCAGAATTGACTAGATGGTAATGGGTTTGGTTTTTGGTTTGACTTGTGAGAAAATAAATTTTTGTTCTTTAACCTGTAGGGTTTTTTTTGTTGTTGTTGTTATGACTGTTGCTGCTGTTAGCTGCTGTAGAAATATTGCCTAATTCAATTCCATAATTCAATTCCATCATCACAATCTTTGGTATGTTTGAACCTATTTTTGCACCCACCCAATCAATCCATCTCATGGAGGATTTGTAACACTTGTTGTTGTTGTTGTTATGTGCCGTCGAGTCGGCCCCGACTCATAGCGACCCCTCCTTGGGTTTCCGAGGCAGTATCACTACGGAAGTAGGATTGCCCAACCTTCCTTCCGAGGAGTGGCTGGTGGGTTTGAACCACTAGCCTTCTGGTGAGCAGTCAAGTGCCTTAGCCACTATGCTACCAGAGCTCCTAGGAAACTAATATAGTATTCGTAATTTTTTTTTTCCTTTGAGTACTTTGTGAGTCTCCATTTTGTTTGTAAACACCTTGAAGAGTTTACTATTTATTGAAGTATCTATCCATATCCTTTGCTCTTTTATTTATTTAGTAGTAATGGTTTACCATTTTCTCAACAATTTTTAGGAGTTCTATACACATTTTATGTGTGTTTAAAATGTCTTTTCCAAGATTAGATTTTATACTGTCTTGAAAAACAGAAGTTCTTAACTTTAATACATTATTATTTACATTTTCTTTTATGTTTTGTGTTTTTCATGTTTTATTTAAGAAATCTTTCCTTACTCCAAGCTGATGACAAAATTTTCTTATAATTTTACCTAATAGTTTTAAAGTGTCACCTTTCACAAGTCCTTTAATTCATAGGCTAAAAAAAAAAAAAAAAAAGCAGGATTCAAAATGGAGTCTCATCAGTAATCACCACACTGTTTCCCTCTAGCATCTTAGTGCTTGAAAAACTAGGTACAGCAGTTTGAATTAGGGATTTTGGTGCTCTGAACAGCTCACTGAGTCAGAGTGCACCAAACTCAGAGGAGCAGAATTAGAAAGGAGGAAGGGACAGGGAAAATTTACCAAGATCAGGAGATCTACCCTGCGGAGTGCCAACAGGCAGCTGAGAAAGGCCACTGGGGACCTCCCTGGGGGAGCGCCAACTGGCAGGCAAGAAAGGCCATCCAAGACCTCCCTGGGTTAAGGAAGAAGACACACCACCCCAGCATACTAGTGACCACACCAACATATCAGTGATCACCCCAAGGATCTACCTTTAGCACCTGATTTTATCAGTAACTTGGGTTGGCTAAGTGCAAACGGGTACATCCAGTGCTGCTGAAACGTGAGCAGAGAGTCCACTGGTGCTACAGGAGGGCAGGCCCAGGGAGGTGCCCCTGCAGCTGGTCACTGAGTAGGCTTGGGTCAGCTTAGTGGCACTGAGAGGCCTGCGCTTGACTTTATCAGGAATATTGGGACCACAGATTATTAGCCATCACCCTCCTGACTCCAGCGCCACTGAAACTGAGCTGATCTTTGGCAATGCGGGCGGGTGGACCCACAGAGGAACTTCCGAGGTGGATCATGGTCTGGGCTGGTTGGTCTGGCACCGTGGGCAGGCAGGACCAGAGAAAGAAACCCCCATGGCAGATTGCAGTGCCAGGAAGTTGTCTTGGGTCAGCGTTTTGGTGCTGAGGGGCCTCGGAAGTGGGGTTTTTGCATGTGTTTGCACCTTGCGGAAAGTGGTGACTCCTAAAAACTGGAGTCTTTGCTGAATTTGGCTTGTGGGCCTGTGAATAACAATACAGAGTCATTGGTACCAGCCCACTCAAAGCCCTAGAAATCGCCCCTAGCAACAGCGAGCTTTCCTTCTTCAGTTACCACCTTCTCTGCCAATAACTTTACTCATCCAATAGAAGAAAGCACATTCAGCCACCATAAAACCTCCCAGTTCAAACTCTAAACCCTCTTTACGACAAACAGAAACCCATATCCACGTTAATCACAGTGATTCCACCATCACAAAGAAAACTGCAGAGCAATCCAACATATCTGAATTAATAACTAAAAAATAAAATACACCAGCTCCACCTTTTCAAAATATTAAACCATAAAACCAAAACAAAACAAATCAATACATAACCAATAGTTAAAGACAACCTCAAAATATCTAGGAAACAATAAGCAACCTCAAAAAAAAAAAAAAAAGGACAAGGCATTAGAAGCAAAACAACAAACAAAGGTCTCATTAAACATGGAGGAAGAGGAGTCAATAAAATTATCTGAGAAAGAACTTAGAAGATATCTTTATAGAGCTTTACAAGAGCCTAAGGAAACCCCAAACAGAAACAAAGAGAACACAGACAATTCCCTGAAAGAACTCAGGAAAATCATTCAAGAAAAAAATAATAAGATTAATGCACAATCAGAACTCATATTAAAACAGCAGTTAGAAATCCACAACATGAATACCAAAATTACAGAATTACACAACATAGTAGAAGCACAAAAGAGTGGTTAGAACTGGCTGAAGACGCATATCCCAAATAGAAGGCAAATCCCTGGACACCAGCCTGTATGAAGAAAAATCAGAACAAAGATTTAAGAGAAATGAATGGAACCTAAGAATTATATGGGATGACATGAGAAGAAACCATATAAGACCCATTGGAATTCCAGAACAAGAAGAGATGAAAAAACCACCAAGAAAACTGTGGAAGACCTGCTAACAGAAAACTTCCTCCATATCATGAAAGAAGAAAAGATATTTGTCCAAGAAGCTCATAGAATCCCACACAAGACAGATCCCAAGAGAAAAACACCAAGGCATATTATAATCAAACTCTCCAAAATCAAAAACAAAGAAAATATTTTGAGAGCTGCCCAGGACAAAAGAAATATTACTTATAATAATCAAACAGGCTAAGTTCTGATTACTCAGCAGAAACCATGCAGGCAAGAAGGCAACGGGATGGCATATAGAAAACACTGAAGGAAAAGAACTTCCAACCAAAAATCCTATATCCAGCCAAATTATCCATTAAATATGAGGGCAAAATCAAGGGTTTCTCAAACAAACAGAAATTAAGGGATTTTGTAAAAAGCAGACCAACCCTACAAGAAATGCTTAAGGAAGTTCTTCCAATAGAGAACCCACAATAGAGATCAACAAAATCAGGATACATGGCATCAACACTAAAACCAAATCAGAAATAGAAACTCAAAATAAGACCATAAAATATGATACTCTAAAACACAAGGCAATCAATCTGCACACAACAGCAGCAACTAACCTATCAGAGGGAATAACACTTCTAGGTACAAACTTCCAAATGGAGAGGAAAACAGGACAATGTCTTCACAGTATGCACTGTTCTAAAAATGTAGAGACAAGAATATACTCCAAGGTAACCACAGAGAAAATTTAAAATCCCCCTAAACAAAACCAGAAGGAAGGAAAACATGTGGGTTTAATAAGCACAAAACCAACAATACAGAAGAAAAGGGAGGAAACGTTAGGCAACAAACCAAACTCAACACAGAAAAGTATATGGACCAAGGAAACACCAACAACATGAAAAAACACAATAGAATGACAGCAATCAATTAATACCTATCACTAATTACACTCAGGGAGCTCTGGTAGCATAGTGCCTAATGCACTTGACTGCTAACCAGAAGGCTGAAGGTTCAAACCCACCAGCCACTCCTCAGAAGGAAGATGGGGCAATCTACTTCCATAGTGATACTGCCTCGGAAACCCAAGGAGGGGTCACTATGAGTCGGGTCCGACTCGATGGCACATAACAACAACAACAACAATTACAGTCGATGTGAATGGACTAAATGCATCTATCAAGAGAAAGAGAGAGGCAGACTGGATAAGAAAAGAAGACCCACTGATAATGCTGCCTACAAGAGACCCACCTTAGACAAAAAGATAAAAACAAATTAAGAGTTAAGGGATGAAAAAATATTTACCAAGCCAATGGTAATCAAAAAAGAGCTGGAGTGGCAATATTAATTTCTGATAAAATAGACATTAAGATGAAAAGCATCATAAGAGACAAATAAACACATTATATGATGCTGAAAGGGTCAACTGACAAAGAAGACTTTACAATAATAAATATTTATGCACCCAATGAAAGTGCTCCAAAATATGTGAAGCAAATATTAACTGAATTAAAAGAGACAATAGACAACTCTACAATATTAGTAGGAGACTTTAACACACCACTTTCAAAGAGGGACAGGTCAACTAGAAAAAAAACTCAACAAACATACAGAATAATTTAACAATATAATCAACCAACTCAACCTCATAGACATATACAGAGCATTTCACCCAACAAAAGCACAATTCACATTCTTCTTCAGTGCACATTAATCCTTCTCCAGAATAGACCATATGTTAGGACATACAACAAGCCTCAATAAATTCAAAAGCATTGAAATACTACAAAGCATCTTCTTGGACCACAATGCTATAAAATTAGAAATTAATAACAGGAAGAGCAAGGAAAAAGTATCAAACATATGGAAGCTGAACAAACTGCTCAAAACTACTGGGTAATAGAACAGATTAAAAACTGAAAGAAAGAAAAAAAATCCTAGAAACAAATGAGAATGAAGATACATCACACGAAAACTTATGGGACACAGCAAAAGCAGTACTCAGAGGACACTTTATAGCCATAAATGCATACATCAAAAAAGAGGAAAAAAACAAAATCAACATAACTCATCAACTTCAACAACTAGAAATAGAACAGAAAAAAGATCCCCATAGTATCTAGAAGCAAGGAAATAATAAAGATCAGAGCAGAAATAAATGAAACAACTAAAAAAAAAAAAAATCATAGAGAAAATCAATAAAACAAAAACCTGGTTCTTCAAAAAGATTAATAAAATTGATAAACTATTGGCAGATCTAACAAAAGAAAAGATCCAACTCACAAGAATTGTAAATGAAAAGGGTGTCATTACAACAGAACCAACTGAAATAAAAAAGATACTGACATAATATTATGAAAAACTGCCCTCCAACAGGTTTGAGAACCTAGAAGAGATGGACAAATTTCTAGAATCACAAGACCTACCTAAACTATCCTATTCAGAGATAGAAAACTTAAACATACCTATAACAAAAGAAGAAATTGAACAGGTCATAAAAAAAAAAAAAACTTCCCACAAAGAAAAGCCCTGGCCTTGATGGCTTCACTGAAGAATTTTATCAAATATTCATAGAACGTTTAAATAGAAGTCCAGTAATAACATTTTCAAATATTATCTTAACTTCAATATTTTTTTTCTTTTGTTCTGGAAGGATGCATATTTTATACTTATAGTTTGATTGTCCTTGGCTCATAACTTTTATCTCATTCTCTCCATATCTTTACTCCTTTCCATAACTTTCTGGGAAGGTCCTATTATTGATCTTACAGTTTATTAACTGATTATTGACTTCAGTTCTATTATTCAACCCATTGATGTAGAGTTGTTTTTTTCTTAAACTATGATATGCTTTATATGCAATACTTCCAATTGATTTCATAACTCAAAGTTTCAGATTCAAATTAATGATAGTTTCTCTTATTTTTTTGAAGGTATTTATTATGTTTGATTTAAATTCTTGGGTTGTTGCTTAAGCCTAGATCTGTCTTGTAAAGATAAGGAGGTGGGAAATATGTGTCTCAGGGCCAAGAGCTTCTGGCTATACCTACTGTGATCTGAGATCTGACTTTAACTACTCCCCACTTGTTGTCATTCTCCTCTCCCAAGCAATCCTACCTACCTACCTACACACACAGAGAGAGAGACACACACACACACATACTGAATGATCCTTTTACTCAAGGGCTCTGTCGAGCCTTTACATGGAGCACTACTCTTTTCCTTAATTGTAATTACACAGCGTGTAAGGCATTTGACTGCTAACCAGAAGGCTGGAGGTTCAAACTCACCAGCCGCTCCTCAAAAGGAAGACTGGGCAATCTACTTCCGTAGAGATACCACCTTGGAAACCCAAGGTGGGGTCGTTATGAGTCGGAACTGACTCAATAGCAATGAGTTTGGTTTTTGGGCTTTTTTTTTTTGGTAGGGAGAAAGAGGTGGAAGTGTGATTCAGGGAAAGGCAATGCCCCAGAGTAGGTAAGACTGCCTACACCTATAATTATCCACTTATTCATGCCTTCAACCTTGGCCCACATTGAGTGCTGAGGTGATAATACCTCTCCATTCCCCAACTGACTTGGCTGGTGGTGTGGTAGTGATAAGGTAGACCCAGGGTAAGATTGAAAAAAAAATGAACACGTCAGTCTCCCCATTTTTTTCTCCATATACTTTGAGCTGATATTTCTTATCCATGGTCCATATCTAGAATTTATGCCTTTCAGAGGTTTCTCAGTTGTTGGTTAGTTTTTCATATCCACCAATCCTTAAACTTCCTTTTCTCTCTCTCACACTTTTTTTTTGGGGGGGGGGGCATATCCAAGGTTAATTTTGGGGAAAGAAGTCAATAGCCAATGTTAATTTGCCTGTCTTGTCAGAAACCACTCACTTTACTTTTCAAACCACCAATCAACTAGTCTTCATGTGACATTTTAAGTTTTTCAGTTAGAATGACTTAGCATTAACTATATATTATTGAAATTTCACTTTAAAATATATCATTTTTATTACATCTTATTTACCTTGTTTTTGTTTGTTTTTCTTCCTTGTCCATTTCTTGATTCATAGTTGTCCTATCTGTGGATATGTCATATCTCCATATTTTTTTTTCTGAACAAAGCTATAAAGAAACTGGACATAAAAAATACATCTACATTATTTTTTTTTAATATAAAAGACAATTTGACAACTATGATCACTGGTATTCAAAACTGTGCATGTATTTCCCATCTTCTCATTAGGTTTGATATCCTCACTACCTTCAAGTGTTTCTTGTATATAGCATAATTTCCAGACCCTTCAATAGGCTATTCTTTCCTGGCAGTCTCTATTTTGTCAAATTCCTTTTCTAAGGCAAGGATCTTCCTTCTCACATTGATGGGCTTATGTAGATATAATTTAATTTTAATTTACTTTAAATTCTGTATTAAAGATGAGTTTTAAGCTCACCTTCTCAGAAAATATCACCAAAAAGAACTAGGGAAGTTAATAGAACTAGTAGCCTGAGTTGTAAAACCAATTCACCATTCATTAAGCACTAAGAGGACATATCCATATACTACCCAGCATTCCTCAGATAAAATAAGGCAAAAAAGGAATGACCTTTGAAAAATAGGGAGTTTCTTTCTGATTACTGGGGGAAATCTAACAAGAAACAGGAAAGTCTCCAAATTGAGATGACACACTGCATGGAGGTATACTGTAATGAAAGAATTTTAAGTAAAGATGCTAGCCTAGAATCAAAGTAAAACAGAAAAAGCTTTAATTTGAAAGTGAATGTGCTTCAGACACACCGAACAAGACAGAATAAAATAGGCCAGAGGCAAGAGCAGCTCTTACAGAATAAAAATAATAGAAATCATCACATCAGGTATGATGCTGACAGCTACACCACCACTGTAGGACAGTCTATCTAGTAACGACCCTCAGGGTGTAAAACAGATATATATATTTTTTTTCCTTCAAAGTCAAAATCAGGACCCAAAGAGTGTCAAGGTTGGTTGTAGAAGGACCCTTCACTGCAGCCAAGAGCTAAAGGGTAGAACATTGGGAAAAACAGACTTTATGGGAGATCTGTAGATTGAAGAGCATCCCTGAATTAAATTTATTTTAAATTTGCAACACAGCCAAACCAAACTCATTTCCGTCGAGTCGATTCTGACTCACAGCAACCCCTATTTGGTTTCCACTACTGTAAATCTTTACAGAGATAGATTGCCTCATCTTTCTTCTGTTGAGCAGCTGGTGGGTTTGAACCACTGAACCTTTTAGTTAGCAGCCAAATGCCTTAACCACTATACTACCAGAGCTCCTTTGCAATAGAGTAGATGTGGGTAATTTTTTTTCTGAAAATGACCAAAGATAAATAGTTTAGGCTTTGTGGGCCAAGACGGAAAATCAAGGATATTTAATAGATACGCATTTAATTTTTCTATTAAGAAGAAATGGATTCTTTTGTTTAACTGGGGTTCAAAGTCAGTGTTTCCTATCATCAAATTAGTTGCAAGTGTTCATTCACAAACATCATTCTTAGCTTGTGAACCACACATAATCAGGTGACAAATCAGATGTGGCCTATGGCCACAGTTTTCTAACTCCTACAATACAGTATATGCTCAAACCAACTTCCCCTTTGACTGTAAAGTAGCTCATATATTCATGCTATCATCTTTATCAAAAAATATCCAATAAACATAAAAAAGTTGATCGATCTCACTACAAATCAAACAATGTAAAAATGAATTGTTTGTTATTTTTATCAGACAAGTGAAAATTTATAGTGTTTATAAAACTCAATATTGGTGAGGGGATGGGGAAACAGTCATTCTTGATGGGGGAATGAATTGTTACATCCATTCTGGAGAACAATTTGGCAATATGAATGAAAATGGAAAAATTAATGATCCATGATCTTATTAACACAAATGAAAAGTATTGTGGCTGTGACTTTTCTAGACAATAATCATCAATTACATTTCAAAAAAAAAAAACCTCACAACCATAGAGTCAATTCCAACTCATGGCGATACTCATTGGGTTTCTGAGGCTGAAGTAATCCCCCTTTCTTCCTTCCGCAGAGTGGCTCGTGGGTTTGAACTACTGACCTTCTGGTTAGCAGCCAGATGCCATATCCACTAGAGCTCAAAAAATTCCAAGTAGGATAAATACACTCATCTATGCACACATATACACAACACATAAACACTTACATAATGAAACTTTGGGATTCCAAAGACAAAGTGAAAATCATAATAGTAGCCAGATAAGATAGATTGCTTAAAATGAAAACAGACTAAGAATGAGCTTTCTTAATAGCAAAAATTTCAAACTGAAAATAATATCTGTAATAATTTTGATGTGCTAAGGAAAGATAACTGTCAGCTTAAAATGCTATACCTTGTAAAATATGTTTCAAATATGAAAGCAAGTTGTACAACATGATCAATGTAATTAATGTCATTGAATTGTGTATGTAAAAAATGTTGAAACAGCAAATGTTTTGCATACACACACACACACACATATACATTTACCATAACTAAGACAAATTAAAGCAAAGTAAAGTCACTTTCAGACAAACAAAACTCAACAAACACATATGAGGAGAATTCTAAGACTTCAAAAAGAAGGAGTATTATCCCACATGGCAGATCTAAGATTTAAAAAAAGAGAGGGAGAGAAAAGAAAGTAATAAATATATGGGTGAATCTAAACAAACACTGACTGCATAAACCGATAATTATTTCTTGTGGGATTAAAAGTTACATGGAACTGAAATACAGAACAACAATAACACAAAAGTCAGGAGAGAAGTAATAGAACTAAGCACTTTAAAATCTTTGAATTTTCTGAAGAAATATAAAGACAATGATTATATTTACACTTTTATAAGTTACATGTGCATCTTAATATTTCTAGGGTA